AAATCCGGACTCTTAGCCCTGTAAAACTAAGTTTGTGCTCTATGCATCCTTCACCTGACTGCAGGTAAAGGCGTGTGAGGAATTCCTTAAAGTTACGGACCATGTTCTGCCATATGATAGGTAGTCTTTACAAATATAAAAATTATCTATAGTTATGTCAAACCCACCAACTGTTAAGTATCATAATGTCCTTTTCAAATAAGTTCTGTAAAACCAGAACAACCGTAAATATTTCTTGGAGCCAAAAGATGTAAAATGTGCTTCGTTTGAAGGGCAAGTTCGCAATTCGGTCAAAGAATTGAAGTAAAATGAAAGGTTACCCAAACGACTAACGACATCAATAGAAATAGAAGGCAACAAAGTCCTCTGACACTCTGTGCTCAATTTAGGAACTACCGCAATGATTGAAGTATTATAATATTTCTAAGGATACATAAATTTCCAAATAATACACCTAAAAAAAGCACCAATAATTTCATCAACCTTAAAATTGTGTTCTCTGACGATAGTTAATAACATAATGGTTGCCACTCCACGTTACAAAATATCGCCTTTTGGCAATACACGTTTTAACTTGCATATTTTAATTCCACGTTGAGAGTTTTTATCTCATCTTGGGCATGGCTGTTCACGGATCCATTTTAAATTTCAAAGTTCAAGTAATATCTTGTAGGATTCATAACATATTCTCATCTTCATCGTCGGTTTTCTCGGCTTTTTCTTCAGGTTTCTTGTCAGATAAACTTTTTCCAGGCTCATTTTCTGGGTAGAAAGAAAGTTTCAAAAGTTAAAACGTCTACATAGTTAGCATAAAAGGTAAGCTGGCTTTAAACTATTAAAAGCCATACCAGATTTTCTGGGCAGGAAGGCACAAAGATTACCGCTATTACGCCTGGATTGCTTGCTAATTCATACTGTCAACGTTAGAATCGCATAATTGAATAAAATCTCGCATTCTGATTGGGTATTACGCATGGATGCGAATTGAGTGCGAGGCTAAGTAATATTGCTTCGTATCTCTTGTTTCTCGCTCAAAATGAAAAACAAATATATCAATGCTGGCTTTTTTTTCCCGCATTGTTATTGAATTACGCGATTCAAGGAAAATCCATTTCCTGACGAGGAAATTCGGCGCTAAATCATGATTCCACATCGTCAAGTTATGAATTTTCCTATAACATGCTGCAATGAAACTTCTGAGGTTCGGCCTGCCAAAACATTTTTTTCTCGGCACATAATCTTTACAGTTTTCCTATACATCACAAGTTCTCCATTACACTCGGGAGAGGAAAGAGAAATGCTTCAGACCCAACTGTCAAACGTAATTAATATCAGCTATCACAACTTGTAGACATAAGCCTTTCCTGAAACAATTTGATAGCATACGTGATGCAAAAAATACCGGGGAGTAAATTCATGCTCAGTTATTAAAATGAATCTGAAAACGACCTCTTGAAGAGTCAGTCAACTTTCGTGCACATTTTCCGGGAAACATGTATTTAAGACATTTTTTGGTAACTGTCGCACCTTAGCAATGAAAGTACAAAATAGTGCACCTAAGTATACTGATGTCGAAACAGAGCTTTTTTCTTCCGCGTCAAAGTCAATTTAGTTTCTTTTTCTGATAAAAGGTCCTTAAGCCACCTAAGTATCTTTCGTTGGTGTGGATGAGGCTTTTTGGTCAGAACTTTTGTCCATCTTTAGATATACCTCGTGAGGAAAACAGGCTCCTTTTGTATTTATGATCTGGGACACTAAAGTTAATCCCCGCGTAGCAAATATTAAGAAAATTATATCATTATTTTTGTATAGCCTTATGCCCAGAAGGGTGAAGAGGATATTGTGATTATTTAGCTTCAAAGTTGCATACAGAATTTCCCTGATTAACTGCCCACGCTCAAATAAGCGCACCCCTCAGCTTCTTCACAGACTTTCTTAAATAGTAAGGAAACAAAGGAAAACTGTTTCTGTTGCCATTTTATTTAGAAATTTTTAAGGTTTAACTATAGCGGGGCCAGTATAGGTTGATAGTTTCTGAATAAGCGCTCCCTCTATTAAGTGCCCTCCTTCCAATGAGCACCCCTACTTTCAGCCGAAATTTTAAAGAGGGGCCTGGGCGCTAATTCGAGCAAAAACAGGATGATAAGAAGTTAAATTTACTTACTCGGAATGAGGCCCTCGGAAATAGCTTGGAAATGCGATTTATTTGAACCGTAATCTCCCGTAATCACAAGTGGTTCTCCCATTTTCACACCAGCGACATCAACAACATCGTCGGTGTCTTCACCGTCAACCAGTTGCAAAGCACCGGGAGATGGATAAAGCCTACAATGTTCTCTGCAATTAAGCTTGAGGTTCAAGAGTTCTACAAGCTTGGCTACGAATGCAATTGATTCATTTTGGATCCCGCTACATTTAAAGCTGATAAGGCATAAAATCTCATCAGATGCATAGTCTTCGTGAATCCTTTCAGAGGAGATTTCTACGTAAGAAAAGGCATCTTCAGTGTCTCTGCAGGAACCAGCAGCACAGCGTAGGTCCNATATATCCAAGTTATATATATACATACATACCAAATGTCATTTCTTTTTCATGCTACGCTTTCCTTCACCTGTGTTCTTCTCTGACACTTCCCACTTTTTACACTAAAGTTCTTTTCTTGTGAAGGTACGTTTTTAATGTTTCACTTTTTTAAGCTGCTGCCATTTACAAATGTCCAAAATAATTGTTGAAAGGCTGCAAACAAGAACATTGAACTGATTTCTAGATAATTCTTTCAGTTGCTACATATATTGCTGAACTTTTTTTGGCAGGTTAAATGGACTAAGTTTTCAAGAAATAAGCTCTACCAAATTTTTTTTCACATCCCAAGCAGCAGTTTTTGGGATATTTATTCTTCACATACAGTTATTATAATTATTGTTTGTGTTTGGTAGAAATCCCTTACCATTGAATGATCCACCACAGTCCTTTGAATCAGACAGCGAGACACTGTCAAGGTGAGATGACTCGCGTGAAGAATTCTCTGCATCCGCAAAGTAGTTTTCTTCACTTTCTCTACAGAGTGCCAGATGATCATGTAGAAGAGTCTGCTCATATCCTGTAAAAGATGTAACAAATGAACTTCACATCAAAATTCAAGTGTCCAAGGAGACTCAGCACAAAGTTTTCACTTAGAATTATGAAAAAGAGATAGGAGTAAATGTACTTATCCACATAATTATTTTACGGTCAATTTAGAATCTAAAAACCTGCCAAGAAAATTGAATGTCCACTAGTTATGAATTTCAAATGGTGAGCATCTAAATAACAACCATCCAATCTAATATTGTAAATGATGGAAAAAGACCAAATGACATATTGCTGTTCAGATGAAACATTGCCACACATTGTGTCAAACATTGTGGGCCAAACATGCAATTCTAACTGGTGGCAATTTAAGAATTTTTCACAAGTGAAAATTTTGTTACTAAATTCACCACAGGTAACCCAACTTAAAGTATTGAATTATAAAATCAACACTAAGGTTATTTGTTTGAGGAACCATGAGTGGATTACAATGATGTAAGGTTCTTGTGAAGAAAAAGATACAGTTTTCTCATTGAGCACCACATCAACTTACCCAATTGTCCATATATCTTACAAAGAACTCTTGAAAGTTGTATCCACTTTTCTGGATAAGTGGAATGTTGGCTGCAGTTTTCTTCTAACAAACTGAAAATCAACATAAATGCGAGGAGACATTGAATCAAAATCTTTCAGCTTCTTAGGAATTTTGTTAATTTTAATCCACTACCAACTATCTCTGTCTAACAGACAGCTTCCCCATGTCTGTCTTTCTTCGTTCAACTGTCTTTTGGCTGGCTGTCAAACTAATTGGCATAAATTAAAGTAGTATAGTAGTAATCTTTAATGAGGATACCAACATCACAAAGTGGTTTACAGAGGGGTCCTCAAAAGAATACTAAGTTTAGATTAAGAACTAGTTAAAAAGATAAAAATGTAAAAGATTTATAAAAGTATATACAATCACCAAGCATCAAATATAACTAGTTAAAAATACAAGAATTTAAAAGATAAAAAGAATATACACCTGCTTGAGTGTCTCGTTGAGAAGAAAAAAATACCTGACTGCAACTTAAACTAATTTTTAAATTTTGACCCAAGCAACATTGTGGTGTGATCCATTTACTAACAGTTGTTTAGAGTAGTCATTTATCAATGAGAACCTATCAAAGCATCATTTATCACAAGTCAAAACATGTGTGGTTGAAATTAATTTACCATTTCATAAAATCAAAGAGCTGCATCAGGTCTTAAAACCCATAAGCCAATAGAGGGTCTTCAGCAAAAGGTTTGTCCTCACAGCCATCATTTAGAGCATCTGTTCCTTGTCCTGATAATGCTTCAAAGAACACAAATCACTTTACATAATACCTTAATGTAAAGTTTTCTTTGCCTGTTCCACTCGGGAAAAATCACTATTAAGACTTTCACTCCAACTAAATGCAACAAGGAAATTCAGACCTATTCCCTGGCCCAGACCAGTTATGGGTTCCTCTTTAATAAGTAATTTCAGCCACTAATATCAATGCCATTGACAAACATCTGCTCCTCTTCGCCAATTGATGATTACATGTTAATTCAAATTATCTATATTCTCAAAGCAGAGAATGTAGTCCTTTCTAATGCATTCAAACCTCACTTTTTATTTTCTGGTATGTATTGTAAATGAAAATCTCTGTTTGTGACTAAAATCGAGACCTGATATCTGTAAGAAACAGCAAATAGAGGTTTAAACGTTTTTTATTAAAAAAATCACACTGCCAGCACGACCGAACTACGTGCTCTCCACGAATGACACAAGGTCCCCGCACATGCCCGGACAATGACGCATACAAAAGCTGATTGACAGAATCACAATAGAGCATTATAAAAAAGTCACGCAACTTGTCACATCTTCCCTTTTTCCTAAGAAACGTTAAACGAAACAACAACAACAAAAAAACATTAGGGAGTGACAAAGTCTTTGAACCAATGGGGTGGCTTCACTTCCCGTTGTGAACCAACTTGAACATTTTCTGCTTTCACCTCCTCATCCTCCCAGGTACCTATGAGATCTTTCGTCAGCAGTTGATAAGGTTCACCTACACCGGATCCTTCTTCATTGATCTTTCTCCCATAAATAAGGCTAGTAGCACCCCCAGGGTGAGTGTTTGATATTTCAACAACTACGCAGTGACCTTGTTTGGCATTGTCTGCAGCTGTTAATGTCAGTTTGTTCATACGTTTGCTGTGAGGTATAAAATCGTGATGCATTATGGAAGATTCACCGGGTGATTCTTCCATAATGCAAGGCTTAAACTGTTCACATCTCGGGCTAAGATGTAAACAGTTTAAGCCAAGCTCAACGTCTGTCGTTGACTCTTTTCCACGTTTGGCTTCTTCAACGATGTCTCTCGGATTAGTCATCTCTGTTTGCGTCGTAAACTTCTTTCCAGGCCTTTTAGGCAAACTTACGGTCTTCTTTCCTCTCAGCTATGAGAAGAGGAAAAAAGTACATCATGGATACAGGAAGCGAAGTGTAAAAGTATTTTATCTTTTTTTAGCCATGGTTCTATTTATAGGACTCTGTGGCCTTTGCAGAAGGGAAAGGAGGTTCAAGTAGGGTAAGGCAAAAGGATAAGGGTGGGAAAGGTGAAAAACGCGAATGAGAAGGCGAAGGAAACTAAAGCATTAACCCTTAATTGGAGAGAGGATTTTTCATTTTATAAAATGCGAGAAAAAAAGAAAAGTTCCAATGAGGAGCCGAACCTCAGAATTTTTAGTTTATTTTACTGTTTCACGTTCGTTACAAGACGAAAATCATCTTTCCCCTTTCACTTATGAGCTTAAAGTTCACTAAACCCTCTATAATTTATTAATTGTCACCATTACAACATGCATTCGCTAAATGTTTTCTAGTTCAAAGTGTTTTTCTGTTTTTCAGTCAAGTATGAGCTTCCAGACTTAAATAGTGATACCGTCTCAGTTCAAGTTGACGCGTGTACATCTATGATTGTTTTTGTTGCACAGCAAGTGTTTTGAATGTCATTAATATTTTTATCATTCAATCACTACACATCCTACACCAAGTGTAACTTGTAGATGAATTCAAAGTGACTTCAAGTTAAGTGAATTCAAGTTGACTCCCACCATCCCGCTCCTGATGCGGATTTTTGAAATTATTGAATGAAAACGTTTACAAGAAAATAGCTTCCTAACTTCCAAACATACCTGTATATCTACATCTCTTTCAAGTGATAATTTAGTGTCCTAAAATATGAATAAAATCGGTCAAATAATAAAATTATCATTCGATGCACTTAAGCTACACATTATCATTCTTAGTATGTAACCCTCTCAGCATCATGCCCAGGCTTAGCACAACGAGTAAACACTGACACCAAAAATATATCCATAAATGCAAAGAGGGAAATTACGCTTTCA